CCTGCCTCCGCCTCCCAAGTAGCTGGGACCACAGGCGCTCGCCACAACGCCCGGCTATTTTTTGGTTGCAGCCATCATTGTTGTTTTGGCGGGTCCAGGCTGGGGATTCGAACCTGCCACCTTAGGTGTACGTGGCTGACGCCTTAGCCGGTTGAGCTATAGGTGCCGAGCCCAGACCCTCCTTCTTAACCCTAGGCCTCAGGTTTCTCATCTGAAGTGGGGCTTATTATCTCTGATCTGCCCATAGACTGGCATGGCTGTGACAAGCAAGAGGGTAACTCTGCCCTTCCCCAGGGCTAGCTTACCATGCCCTAGGCCTGGAGGCACCTGGTTCTGAAGCCCTCTTCTCCTCCAGGTCAGGATCCAGACGGAGCCAAAGTACGCAGGCATCTGGCACTGTGTCCGGGACATATATCACAGAGAGCGGGTAAGCCTGGGGCCAGGGGATGGGCAGGGGGACAAAGAGGGGGATGTCAGGACCTTGGGCCAGCAGGTGATGTTGAGCACCTCTCTGGGCCTCAGCTCTCTCACCTTCCTACTGGGAATAATTGTACTGATCTCATTGGCTCCTCTGGCAAGGACAAGGGGCTCAGAACCAGGCTCCTGCCTCCAGCTGGGGGTCTAGAAGTGGCCTTTGAAGGTCTCAGGAGGGACCCATGTGTTGCATTTCTGTCCCCAGCAGGCCAAGCACCCGATAAAGGGTCCAGAGAAAGGACTTGGGGACATGTAGCAAAATGAACTTGGGGTTTGCACAGAGCAAAAGTTAACCCACGAAAAGGAACAATGTCAGAACATGTTTGTTGGCTGTCATCAGCACCAAAGCGCTGCCCCAAGTTGGGCCTGGCCCTCCGCCCCTTTGATCCCTCATCCCAATCTTCTAAGTGGAGTATTATGACCCTATGAGATAGCTGAGGGGAAAAGGCCTTGAAGCTGTGACTTGCCCAACTCCTTGGGCCCAGGGCCAGCTCCCTAGGGTGACCCCTTTTGGCTGGCTGCTGACCTGACTACTGCCTGTCCGCCAGGTGTGGGGCTTCTACAGGGGCCTCTCGCTGCCTGTGTGCACTGTGTCTCTGGTCTCATCTGTGTCTTTTGGAACCTACCGCCACTGCCTGGCACACATCTGCCAGTTCCGGTATGGCAGCACTGACGCCAAGCCCACAAAGGCCGACATCACGCTCTCAGGATGTGCCTCCGGCCTTGTCCGTGTGAGTGGGGGTGGGAGGCCTCAGAGAGACTGAGGTGGGGAAATCAAGGCTCAGTGAGGGCAGACTGGAGGCCACACATGGAGCAGGTGTCCTGCCCAGACTTAGAAGCACACAAATGAGGGTCTCAGTTGTTCTGCCTGCATGGTCCACTGGTGGGGGCTGACCAAAGGGACTCTCCCTGCAGACTCTGGAGACTCAGAGAGACACAAAGTCACCTAGCAGCCACCACTGGGAACTGAATAGGCAGGATAAGATGCTGGTACTCAGTCATTTACTGCCACAGACCCTTGACATTCCTTCATTACCAAGGGTACATAGGGCACCCACTGTGCCTGGCTAGCTTTTGAGCACTGAGGAGGTCAAGGCAGCCAAGGTCCTTGCCTCATGGAACTCATGTCCCAGTGGGGAGCCAGACTTAAACTGGCACAGAGCCAATGGGAGCTGCCACAGGGCCTTGAAGGAAACTGAGAGAGGTGTCTGACCACATGCAGGCAGTGCAGAGGTTGAAGGCCTGGCCAACCAGTCTAAAAGACCAGGCTCGATTCTTGGTTCTGACTCTCATTAGTCCTTTGTTGAGTGGTATTGAGTCAGTAAGGGAGCCTCCCTGGGTTTCTGTCTCTTCATCTGTAAGAGGCATGATGAGAATTAAGTGATGTCATGAGTGTAAACCTCCAACACACATATGTGGAATCTGACATGGATGAGTACTAACAAAGTGGCAGGCAATATTATTAGCGATATGATTGTATTACTGATAATTATGATATTAAATACATGGTTAAGGCTGAGCAAGTTGACTCACAACTGTAATCCTAGTACTCTGGGAGATTGAGGTGGAAGGATCACTTGAGCTCAGCAGCTCCAGACCAGCCTGAGCAAGAGTGAGACCTCTATTTCTACTAAAAATAGAAAAATTAGCTGGGCATTGTGGTGGATGCCTGTTGTCCCTGGTACTCGAGAGGCTGAGGCAGAGGATTGCTTGAGCCCAGTAGTTTGAGGTTGCTGTGAGTTCGGCTGATGCCATGGCACTCTAGCCTGGGGCCATACAGTGAGACCCTGCTTTAGAAAAATATAAAAGAAGTTCTTGAACCTGCATTGCAGACATATAGCCCTTTAAACATAGCTCCCTGATATCACTATGGGCAATATGAGGCCAATAGGAGGCTAGGCCCAGGGGTGTGTGGGCCAGGCTGCAGGTGCCACCCTTGCATCCTCCTCTGCTCCAGGTATTCCTGACGTCACCTACTGAGGTGGCTAAGGTGCGCCTGCAGACGCAGACCCAGCAGCGGCGGCCCTCAGCCTCATGGCCCTCAGCTGTGCCCCCCATGTATTCTGTACCCTCTGCATGTCCAGTGCCCAAGTACCGAGGGCCACTGCACTGCTTGGCGACAGTGGCCCATGAAGAGGGGTTATGTGGCCTCTACAAAGGGAGTTCGGCCCTGCTGCTCCGGGATGGCCACTCCTTTGCCACCTACTTCCTCTCCTATGCCATCTTCTGCGAGTGGCTCACCCCTACTGGCCACAGTCAGCCAGGTAAGTGGGGGCTGAGGCCTGGGTGGGCAGGGGGCCAGCCCAGCAGGAAGAGGAGGGTGAGGTGAAGTCATGGTGCACAGTGGTGCTGGAGTGGGACTTGAACCCAGGGCTCCTGTCTCTCGGGGTGGGAGCCTCTGTTCCCTCAAGACCTGGAGTCAGGACAGACCTGCTCTATCTCAAAGTCACCGGGTGGCTTTGGACAAGTCACACTTCCCTTGCTCAAGTCTCAGTTTTTCCACTTGCAAAATGAGGATAGGTCAGCTGAATGAGCCCAGGATGCCCCAGCTGTGTTCCCAGTTAAGGTACTGTGGTCTCTCTGCAGATGTCCTGGGTGTACTGGCAGCAGGAGGCTGTGCAGGGGTCCTGGCCTGGGCTGTGGCCACCCCCATGGATGTGATCAAGTCACGCCTGCAGGCAGATGGGCAGGGCCAACAGCGCTTCCGGGGCCTCTTGCATTGCGTGGTGACCAGTGTTCGTGAGGAAGGGCTGAGGGTCCTTTTCAAAGGGTTGGCACTTAACTGCTGCCGTGCCTTCCCTGTCAACATGGTGGTCTTTGTTGCCTATGAGGCCGTGCTGAGGCTTGCCCGGGACCTGATCACTTAGCTTGTTCTAACACCCCAGCAGCCAACCCATCAGCAGCTGCCAGAGGTCATAGTAGCTGGAGGAGGCAAAGGGGACTGTTGCTGGGGTTGGGACCCCCACAAGGCCACCAACCAGGATAGCTGGGGGCCTCCCTATGCCAGTGAGCTGAGGCCTAAGCTTGGCCTGCCTAGCCACTGACCACAAGAAGGTCCAGGGGCTGAAGTGCCATCCACTCAAGGTTGGTCTGAGGATCACGTGAGCTGGGGAGGAGTGGGCCTTTGTTATGAGTGCAGGTCACGTGGTTAGTTGTTAGTTCTAGCTTCCCTATGGCCTCTTCCCCTATCCATATCTTCAGAGCACCTCTCCATTGGCTCAGCTGTAGGCTCAGCCATCCTTTCCCCCATGCCACCTCCTCTCCCCCCACTGCCATTTCCTGTGCTTTTCATGCACTGTCACCTCCAAGGTAGGTGCAGCTAGTCTCCCCACCAGCCTGGGGGCTGTAGTGAGCCTGAGCCAGGTTGGCACCATGTATCTGGCTAATTTGTTCCTATACCAGGCTGCTCTGGGCACTGCCAGGACAGCCATGCCCACCTGGGCTTTGGCTTTGGCAGGGGCCTGGAATCTCCATCGTTGCCTGGCTGGGGAACTAGGTGTACTTTCAGTGCATGCACTTGCCCATGAAGACACCAAAGGCCCATTTGGAGCTGTTGTAAATAAAAGGTTTCTGAGGTTTCTGAAGCATCTCAGTGGTGTTGCCCTGTGGTCTGTGGGGTTGCTGACCCATTTCCTGCCTCCAGTCTATCTCTGGTTCCTGGGATCCTGCTTGCCCATCCCAGTCCAGGGATGTGGGGCCATGATTCTGTTCAGTTCCCTTCCTGCTGGACATGTTCTCCAGCCCCAGTGGCCAGCACTCCCACTGTGCAGACAGGCACCCTGAAGCCCTGACCCCATCCTGGTGGGCTCTACTCTCTCAGCCTCCTGGTGGTGGGGGCCTGGTGTTATGGCCCTTAGCCCTGCTGGAGGGGTCTGTTCAGTATGACATTTGCTCCTCTTGTCATCTATCCCAAACCTACCTGCTTCCTGGGTAAAACCTGGTTCCAGCCAATTCCTCCCAGTTGCCCTGGGAGCTGCCCCTCCAGAGGGACTGTGGGTGGGAGAGTGTCAGGCACCTTATCCAGGTTATCCCATCAGCCTGACACCAGGTGAACAAACAGCTCAGGAAGGGAGAAGGTTTTGCCTGAGGTCACACAGCTAGGGGTGGGGGAGGTGGGACTTGTGTTTGTGCTTCTGCAGCTCCAGGCATAGCGTCACTGGGACCAGGGCTGGTAGGCTCAACATGAATCCAAGCCTCTACTGCAGCAGCCCTCAGTAGAGCTGGTGGACACCTGCCTCAACTACACTCACTCACAGACACCAACTGTGACCAAGTCTGTGGACTGAACACCCTCTAGTGTCCTACTGAACAAACCCCTTCTATTCCCAGAATGAGAGATGGACTTCTCTCCTGTGCCTGCTCCTGTCATGCTGGTCCCCATATCTGCTGTGCTTGTGGGTACCTGACTTTATACCCTGTGCCCTTTGCTAGGAACACTCTTTGCCTGGTTGACTCCCCCTGTATCACCTCCTCCTGAAGCCATTCCTGCCAGACCACCAGGCTGCTTTCAGGTGTCTCCTGCTCTGCTCCCATGGAGACCTGGTCGATTGTCTGGCCACCCCTTTACCCTCAACCACATTCGAGCCTGTGAGCTGCCCAAGGACAATATCTAGCTTCTGGGTCTAGTGCATAGTAGGTGCTGAGGGGGTTTGGAATAAATGAGTGAGTAAATGGTTGAATGAAGTCCTACAATAGATTTCTGGAAGTCCAACTAGCTTAGAGAGTTAAAGATGCTGAGATGCTCTGGCTAAATGCTGGGAAAAGGGTACCAGCTAATAAAAGTTTCAAAAATTTCTTGAACCCTGCCCCTGCGGCCACTTCTTTTTTTTTTTTTTTTTTAGG